AAAAAAAAAAAAAAACTCCAAATAATATTGTTATCTGCCTTTTTTTTTATTCCTTCATTCTCTAAAATGTAGTATGTTAATATCTCAGTTGAGTTGTCTACCATAATCTTTGGTTTGGTAGCAACTTTTGTGATCATTTTGACAGGAAAAAAAAAAAAGTCAACTTTAGTTTAGGAACAATGTCATAGAACCTCATGGCCTTAATTATCAAAAACTCTGAAAACATGTTAAAAATGAAAGAATGTCTGTTCTATAATAAGAAAGAAGTTATTGTAACAAAGAACAATTACTGAAAGCAAATAGGTGAAAGCACTAAATGTGAGGGGAGAGATATGAGAAGATTGCTAATCGCACCTTTGATTTTAATTTACAAATTACTTTGGAATAAACAGACATATTAGAGAGTGAATAATATGAACTGGAAAAGAGTGGTCTTTAAACTTAGAACATTCATGTAATGCATTTAATTTAATTATTGAAATGAGATATTTAGCATCTGTCTATTCACAACCTAAGTCCATCCAGATATTAATGAGAATGAATCAATAGCTTTTCTAAGTTTAAATAAAACCGGTATTTCTTACAAATTAAAAGCACAATGTCCATTTAAGGAAAAAGGGAGTGGTGGGTCTTGAAAGCATGATACAATTTAGTTCACTCAAATTTAAACTTTGCTTTATCTTTATTATTGTTTTTTTAGGCAAAAGATTTAGGCTATTCAATCATTAAAGAACTTACACCTCTTATCTAGAAAAGCACAAATTATCTTTAAAAAAAACTTAAGAGTCTCTTGGGTGGTTCAGTTGGTTAAGCCTCCTACTTTGGCTCAGGTCGTGATCTCTAGGTCCATGGGTTTGAGCCCCATCTTGGTCTCTGTGCTGACAGCTCAGAGCCTAGAGTTTGCTTCAGATTCTCTGTCTCCCTCTCTCTCTGCCCTTCCCCCGTTGGCGCTCGCGCATGCTCTCTCTCTCTCTCTCTCTCATCTCTCTCTCTCAAAAATAAATATTTTAAAAAATAAAAGTAAAATAAAAATAAGACATTTCTTTAAAGTGTTTTTTTTCCTCCTCTATACATGTATGCTATAGGTTTAAAATTTCCATGTAAGGCCTCATGTGTTCTACTCAGCTTAGAAGTAGAAAGTGTGATGTGTTTGAGATTTAAACAAGTATAGGAAAATGCTTGTAAAATTTAGTTGTTGAACTGTAAGGACTTAATAGAAACATAAATCTATTATATATATTATATGGTACAAATTAGGTTATATATTATATGATAGAGATAAATCCATAGATTATATTTTATATGATAGATTATATATTACACATACATTTTGATATATGTCATATACTTTTTTGTTTTTCTTTTCCCTTTTTCCTATGTATGTTTCCCTGAAATAAATGTAACAGTCTACTACAGTCAAATTTTAAATGGCCTCTAAAATAAGTAAGTAGGCAGATAGATGATAGATAGATAGATAGATAGATAGATAGATAGATAAGTAGTACTCTGCTTTGAAATATAGCCCAGGTCATCAATCCATACCCATAAGGCATTTTAGGATTTTTATGATATATTATAGTTGATTGCAAAAGGTATACAAGACAGAAACATAATGTTGTTTACAGTGAACCTTTGTAGAAAATTGCCACTGGGTTCATCTTTATTTTTACAAAAATAAATATGCATTGGCTATGGTTTATATCTCTGAATGATAGAATTGTATGTTTTGAGAATGTTTCTGATTCAGTTTTCCTGTAATTGTCCTTCTGCATGAAGCCATCTCTGTTTAACCCTATCTTGTCACTCCTAAAAAGATTTAATTAAATTATTACTGGCAGAAGTAGGCGTTTTGATGTTCCTGATTTTGTTTTTGTATTTATGTTTCTGTTTATTGTATTTTCTATTATTTTGATTTGTAATTGCTTTGCATTTTTCTTGTAAGTTCTGATAGAGATATCAGGGCATGTATTCTGTCTTTTATAATTGCATACATAAGTTCATAAAATGTCCTCATTAAATATATATTCTATAAATGTGTATTTATATTGACTGACTGAATAGAAATGGACAGCCATCCAGTTCTTAACTTGTTCCAGTCTGCCTCATGGACACTGAATCTTAATTATTGGCTCTAGGAAGTCATTTTTTAATATGCCAAATTAAGTAGGATTTTTAAAAAATTAAGTTTATTTATTTGTTTATTTTGAGAGAGAGAGAGAGAGAGAGAGAGCAGGGGAAGGGAAGAGAGAGACAGAGGGACAGAGAGAGAGAGAGAGAGAGAGAGAGGGAATCCCAAGCAGGCTTCATGCTGACAGCATGGAGCCCTACATGGAGCTCGATCTCACAAACCCATGAGATCATGATTTGAACCAAAACCAAGAGTCACTCAACTGACTGAGCCACCCAGGTGCCTCATAAGTAGGGTTTAATAAAGATCAATCAATTAAATTGTGTCGCTAATTACATTTTTATATAAGAATTATAAGATATAAATATTAATCAAAAAATAAGGTAATTAGTGATCTTATAAAGGATAATTGGCAATTCACATATACTTTTATATTTTAAGCTTTGTATTTTTATTATTAGTCAATGATAACTGTTATGAACTAAAAATGAATAAATAATTCATTACAGATGGACATGGAAAAGAAAGCATGGTCCTAATTAATGGATTTTATATTAAACCATATTTTGCATATTATATGCACCAATCAAAATTCACCTGGTGAGACTCCTATACACATACAGCTCTTTCTGAACTTACAATCCTTAACCTTAAGAAATGATAACTTCTTAATTGTATAATTATTAGATCACAAAGAAGAGGTCTGTAATGTGTATAGTATTGTTCAAATCAGAATCATTTTCATCAATGCTAGCTATTTGCATGTTAATATTTAGGGTATGTGCTTTTACAGAACAAATCACTCTTCTAGTGATTCAAGAAGGTGATTTCATTATCTAAGGGATCAACTATTATTGATTCCTTTCAATTTTGTGATGCCTACTTCACATGTATTATGGTATATATGGATCATTCCTCACTCAGGGTCTCACAGGTATTAAAGAAATAAATCTGTGTGTGTGTGTGTGTGTGTGTGTGTGTGTGTGTGTGTGTGTGTTTTCCACTTGTTCTCTTTGTGTGAGTTAAAGAGAGAGCCATGATTATTTATCATAACATAAGGTATTCATTTTGGCACCACAGCTTAGCCCATAGGGCTTTTAATAGCAAAGAGGTTAATGTCAAAATTAGTCAACATCAGATTTTGCCTGCAATCATATTTACTTAATACTGGATACACATGTTTATAGTAAATTGTTTGATAGACTCTAATGCGGTGTAGTGAAAATTAACTAGAATCAGCAAATGTTAACATTACTTAAAAGTAGACATGGGGAAAAGATTCTGTGTTCTGATACGCACTCTGAATTGTCTCTGCTACTCATTAAAAATTTCAAGACAATAATAAGATAATTGAATTTCCCACAAAGATTTTGTCACTGGGCTTCTGCTAATGAATATAGAAATCTGAAGAGCTTTTCTTTAGTCTAATTTTGATTGCCTTCTAGGGAGCTTTCTTTTGTCACTGGCATACTGCTGGTTTATTCAAAGTATGTTGTTAATATGCTTATGTAAATATTTGATCTCCAATTTAGGAGTTACCATATGGGAACTGATGACCTTTGGAGGAAAACCCTATGATGGAATTCCAACCAGAGAAATCCCGGATTTATTAGAGAAAGGAGAACGTTTGCCCCAGCCTCCTATCTGCACTATTGACGTTTACATGGTCATGGTCAAATGTAAGATTGCAAAATAATTTCATCATCACCATCATCACTCTTAGTAAAGCAATAGTACAGATTAATCTACCTGCATAATGTTTTTGTATATTGAAAAATGTAAAAGTCCAAAAATAATTATGAAAACATCATGTAAACACCTGCGTTTTTGTGATTATTATGAATAGGAAGCAATATCATGCTTCCATGTTATGAAGTCAAAATTATATGACTCTTTCTCTTCTGATTCATTTCACTTTGATTCTTATCATTTCCATGACAATCACATTGTCTTTCATAAAGAGATGTAATTAGTTACAATAATGTTAGTAATCTTTATAGGAAAATAGCAGTCTAAACAAATGATCTGATATAAAGAAAGAAAGCTTGAAGCTGATGGTTGAAAAAATGAATTAAATGGAAATAGGTTTACCAGTTTTAGTCAACAGGAAATAAGCAGGACAGAATGGAAAGTAGGAAGACATGAATCTACAGTCAAATAAAAAGATTATGAATGTTTACTTTTTTTTTCAATTTGATCATTTGTTTACATCAAACGCTCTTACTTTTTTTTCCTCCTTTCTATGCCCCAGACACATACGTATTATAAATATGTTTTGGCAGCCTAGGCTCTTAATTTAAATAGAATTAAGGAAGTCTCTGGAGTTTCCTAGTTAATTTAAGTGAGATTAACATTCAGCAATCTTTCTTGTGTAATCTGGGGTTTTCCCCTTTCGATTTACACAGGGTTAGCAAAGAAACAAACTGGTGAAGGTGAATAAGCATCTTATTAATAAGAGACTTTGGACCCAGGTCTACTCAGATTTATATTCATGACATGTGTGATACATTCTGACAGTGAGGAAAGAAATAAAAAATGTGCCTTCCAGTTCAGGTCAGCATGCCCTTTTCTCTAAGCATAGTTCTATTTACTCAATATTTAGTTAGAAAGAAACGGATACCTCCTGGTGAAGTTAACCTTTTTAGGTTCTAATAATTCCAGAAACACCTATTTTCTCATTAGCATCTTGGTATCAACAGCAATTTTGTGTGTGTGTGTGCAAATGGATGCATATAGTGCAGCTTTATTAGGAGAGGGAAAAAAATCAGGTGATATTAATGATACATGAAATGACACCCAAAGACTTCCCAGAACAAGAATAAAAATTGAACTCCCAGAAAAAAGAAACTCACTTTATAACTTTATTGAATCAAGCATCTTCAGTAGTCATCTATGCAAAAAACCTTAAAAACATGCATACATTATATAATTGGATCTCATAAGTAGCATAAGAAATGATTTATATACTTCATTTTGATACTCTGATGAAACAATGAGAAATCAGGAACAGATTTTGCCTAATAGAGAGTTTTACCTTGCTTTTATGAGTTTTAATACCTAAGAAAAGGGTCACTTGGCAAGAAAATCAAGGAAAGCTTAGTACTTGTATTCTTGTGATCTCATCAGCTAAGCAGAGCCTGGGGAGATAAGACCCACTTTATCTAGACTCCTAGCTAAATAATAATACATACCTTGAAAATTGCTGATAGTATTTTTATGCTGCAAAGGTTACTAGTTAGATAAGCTAATGGCTAGTGCTGAACAAACATTACCAATTACTTTTCATTGTTTTTTTTTCCCCCACCAGGAAAAAAAACAGCTTGAGAAAGTTGCTTTCTATTTCTTTCCCCACCCCCACCCCCTCCCCTGTGCTGGTGCACTGCATTGTAACTAAAATTTGTATTCTATGTCACTCCTAATAGAAAATAATAAATTATGTCCCCATCACCTCCTCTATAGCCATCCAAGAAAAATTTAAAAAAAAAGAAATAAAGAAAAAGGAAGCCTTCTCTCCACTTAAGAAAAAATATAGGAGATTCTGTAAGTTCCTATAGTTAGCCTAGGGTTATGTTTCATAAGAAGAAAAATTACTTTTAAATTAGATCAACAGAATAAAAAGTTTCTCTTATTCACATTTACTTATGAACATCAACAAACTGCTTGAGATAGAACCTTGCCTATTGGATTATTTCTTTCTTTAGCTTTCTTTGTTTTTTTTTTTTAGATCATTATCACTAAAACAGTATTTTTCAAACAGCCTATGTTTTCATAAAATTTACATCCTACTTGTTCCTAATTATGGATAGATACAGTGACCCTCTTACTGTGTGTGAATTTCTAGGCTGGATGATTGATGCAGACAGTAGACCTAAATTTAAGGAACTGGCTGCTGAATTTTCGAGGATGGCTCGAGACCCTCAAAGATATCTAGTTATTCAGGTTGGTACATATCTGGACACTGGAACTTTGTAAATCACCATTCATAAATCGATTAAGCAGAATATCATGTGAAATGACTTATGGAAAAGAGGTTTCTAGTTGATGTCAGAACTCCTTCTAGGAATCTTGCCTTAGTATTCAAGTGCCTCTGCTATTGAATGGCCAGATAATTATGATTATCCATATACATAAGAAGTCCTTATCCTCAGATAAACCTTCTAGCACTCTGCTTTTTGTTAACATTATGCGTTAAGTCATGTCCATTATTATAATCTTCCCTTTCAGAATAAAAGGAAGATGGATTTTTGTTTTAATCTTGTCCAGGTTTTAAGACAGTGAATTAAAAGTGTCAGTATATTGCATTCAATTTCCTAAAATATATTTATAAATATATTTTGTTTTAAGGGAGATATACAGTATCCAAGCAATAACTCAGATTCCAGTGAATGGATGTACATATGAATCAAATAACAGTCCAAAAGAACATTTTATGTTAAACACTAGAAACACTGGATTGGATAATTTAAAAATTATAATATATTTCTCTATGATTATTTTGCCTAAATCATAAACAAGTGGACCTTGGGTTACACTGAACTAATTTTCCTCAATGAAACAAGGTAGCATTTATCTTCCTATTAATAGTCTGCCATGAAGATAAAAGTCAGGATTTAGAATCTAATAGTTCCTAGTTATTTTTCTCCCAAATTAACTTGCATAAACCACTTATATACAAAATGTCACATAATTTTGAAAAATAAAAATAATCATATTTAAGAAATATAGGAGGCAAAAAAAAGAGTAGGGTTTTGGTGTCTCTCCCACCCTTGTTTATATTATTTGCCACTTTTGCTGTGATTTTTAAAGCTATCACTTTATCAGTGTCATTCTATAGAATAAATCATGGGGGCACCTGGGTGGCTCGGTCTGTTAAGCATCTGACTTTGGCTCAGGTCATGATCTGGTGTTTTGGGTGTTCGAGCCCCGTGTCGGGCTCTGTGATGACAGCTCAGAGCCTGGAGCCTGTTTCAGGTTCTGTTTCCCTCTCCCTCTGCCCCTCCTCTGCTCACGCTTTGTCTCTCTCTCTCTCTCTCAAAAGTAAATAAACATTAAAAAAAAAAAAATCATGAAGCTTACATGTCCTGATAACTCTACCCTATCAAACCAACCAAATAAAATACAGTAAAGATTGAGAAGTCAATTGCCCTTTATTACATACTCTTAAAGTCACAGCTCAAACAACATCTTGGCAATGAAGCCTATACAGTTATTCTCACGTCTGAAATAGATTATGCCTCCCTCAAAAGAGCCATAGCATACTGCTTTAATTACCTCTAATGGCATTTATCACATTCTATTAAATGTATTTATCTTACCGTGTCATATCTAAGTATGTTACAAGCTCCTTTGTGACTGGTAAATGTGTTAAACAGTTATTTTTTAAACGAGTGCATGAATTTTCAACCACTTGTTTTGATATTACATAAATTTGCTGCAAAGTCCATATATTTAAGATGAAGAATCTTTGTTTGTTTGTTTGTCTGGTGGGCAAACTTTTAGGGTGATGATCGCATGAAGCTTCCCAGTCCAAATGACAGCAAGTTCTTTCAGAATCTCTTGGATGAAGAGGACCTGGAAGATATGATGGATGCTGAGGAATACCTGGTCCCTCAGGCTTTCAACATCCCACCTCCCATCTATACTTCCAGAGCAAGAATTGACTCAAATAGGGTAAGAAATGATTATATACCACCTCCCATGTTATTTCTGAGAAACAAATCATGCAAATATATTATAAGCACTGGAATTACAAAATAATTATACAGCTCAATTCCGGGTGATTCCTAGATTAAAAACATACTATACCAGGGAAAGACATGCCATATATAGTTAATTTTGAAACACAAACATAGGTAATAGAATATGTACTCTGAAGTATTTTTAAAATTTCAAAAAGAGGAATGTTGCCTTTGTCGTACGTTACTTAAATCTTAGTTTTTTTAAAAAAATCTACAACCAATTCAAGCTAATAAAACTGTGTTTATATAAATGAAAATTCTTAACAAGATAGGCTCTTTAAAAAAGATGATAGGACTTATTTATTAGTCAAGAGGTGATACAAGTACAACCTCTTTCACTCAAGAGACTTTAAGTATTTCCTGTCACTTTGAAGTCGAAATAGAAAACTGCAATACTTTGAACTATATCAATCCTTTTGGGGGGACTGCTGAACCAATTCTAAGATGTAGATTTAGGTTTTGAAAGAAGCTTCTGAAAAGAACTTGCATTTAATTTTAAATATTAAGCACACTCTATATGACTATCATTCTTCTTCTGAAAACTGTCAATCCATGTGTTCATTCGTTTATTTTTTAAAAAAATATTTAATGTTCACTCAACATGTATTGAGTACTCCTACATGTAAGGCATGATTAGACACTTGAGATTCAAAGTATTTTGACATAATCCCTGGCTTCAAGAAGTGTCCAGACTCCTTCATTTAAGAACATTATCATAGCTAGTGGAACAGACAGCATTCTATTTGTCTTGACCACAAGCATAAGAAACCTTTCAACTTGCTGCTCATTTTCATAAATGAAGTTATTTGCTTTATTTCAGATCCACAGCAATAATAACATAACACTTACCTGGTGTTTACCCCGTGTCAACATATATATAAACCTGGTGTTTACCCTGTGTCAACACATATATATTAAGTCTCTTATTCCTTACAACAATATCATTAGGTTCTATTATCATTATCTCCATCTTAAAATGAAGAGACTTGTCACAATTAAGTGATTTGACTGGTGTCCTACAGTTAGCCAGTGGGAGAGTAGGATTCTAATGTAGGCAGCCTGCCTCTATCACACATACTGCTGCCTCAAAGTTATTGGAACATGTTATTTTCATCATATGGTTGTTTTTCTTGACATAGACCTCAATGTTTGAGATAAATGCAGTTTGAGAAATCCCCTAGGTGATTATGAAATGCATCCTCCAACCTCTCCCATACCTTTTGCTCATTTGCTCCATGTAGAAGGGCTGATGTAGAAGAAGGCAAAATAAATACCTCAATTTTTCTTTTCTATGAAAAATATGTCAGTGCATCCCAATGGGGAGAAGACAACTAAAAGGTTTGCAAATTAAATCAATACTCATTGAACATCAGTCTTGTTTATGGGAAGGAACAAAGTCCTTAAGGTATATAAAGGAAGCAACTTTCCCCCCTCCATATACTTAGCAACATGGCCAAATTATAACTTTGGTGATTGTAATTTTATGTGACAAATGTATTGCTTTACTTAAAATAGAGACATTTCAGAAAACAGTTTTCCTTCCTTAACATGAAATGCTATAGGGCCAAGAGCTTGAATCTTTTTCTTTTCATAAGGCGTTTCAGATTTCAACTTTCTGTTCATTTTAATTTATGCTCAATGCAAGGAATTCTTAATAAAGGTTTGAATTAACTAAATGAAATTAGTGAGACAAAGTAGAAGCCACATGAGAAATTATTTGGCCTTCAGTTATCATTTCTTATTCCACATTATTATTTAAACAATGTTATCTGTAGATTTCTTTTTAGTTTTTCAGGTCTTTGTTAGGGGAATTGTGCTTAAATACCATTTTATTTTCAGGCATTAAGAGGCCTGACTAATCATCTGTGTTTTCCTATTTTAAAAAAAAATCTGGTTTTATGTAACTTCATCTGTGTTTTCCTATTTTAAAAAACTTGGTTTTATGTAACTTCCATGGTAATTTCTAATTTGTGCAAATGCTATTTTCCCTTTTTCTTCCTAGAAAGCTAAGTTATATTATTTTATAGTTAGAAAATAAATTACTTCAGTTTTAGGTTGTGTGGCCAACTTATGTGGTAAGGGAATATCTTAAAGTGAATTTTAATCAAGTGTTTCTTGAGCATATTTGCTAAACTTTGAAACCAAAAACTAATTCGGCTTTTAAATATAGATTCTTTTGCTCACTAGCTGATAAATTTTACATGTTGTTCTTAATAACTTTACAACTTGTTTCTTCATATGTAAAATAAATACAGTGGTAGTTAATTTATGTGATTGCTAAACAATTACCCTTTAAAAAGTGCCAGGCAAATACATACTTATTCTCTTTTAAGAATCACTCAAATTTCATTTGTACTTATTTCCTTTTCAATATCATATATCACAACGTTTTCTACATATTATCTAGAAAAACCCTATTGATTCAATCACTACTTGACTGAGTACTTCTGCTGATGTGTTTTTTTATAGCAAATAAAATATAGATGTAATTTATTCTATGGTGCTTTTATTTCAAAATCGGTATGTATTTTGATACATGTCATGACTTTAAAGCAATGAATCAATTAAAACTACAAAGCTGACATTTATCCAGCAAGTTGACAGATACAGATGCAAGCATTGCTAAAAAACACCCAACAAATTTAGACCTGTTGTTGTTATTATTATTGTTATTGTTAGTACCTTTTTAATACTATCTCAAATACTTTTATCACAATAATATACCAAAAATGCTTACTCTAGCATGATGAAAATGGAAGAACATGAGAAGCTATCTAACTTCTACAAACTTCAGGTCTGTACATCTGTAAAATGAAGATTTAAAATCTACTCAGAAGTGCCTGGGTGGCTCAGTCAGTTAAGCGTCTGACTCTTGGTTTCAGCTCAGGTCATGATCTCAAGGTTTCGTGGGATTGAGCCCTGAATCAGGCTCTGTGCTGACAGCGCAGAACCTACTTGGGATTCTCTCTCTCTCTGTCTCTCTCCTTCTCTCTCAAAATAAATAAATAAACTTCAAAATATCTGCTAAGAATATTGCGAAGGTTATCTTTTTAGGATACCTAAGTGTGTTCCCCATTGATGGATATGTAGGAGATGCTCAATAGTGTGGAAATTAATGAAGACCAAACAAATGAGAGAAGCGAAGCCTCTTTATTCAGAGCTTGTTATAGCAAGGGACTTCGCTGCTGCCACTTGCATTTTGGCAGAGTCTCAGAGGCACACAAGAGTGGGAAAGCTTTATAGTGGAGAAAAGGGAAGGCTTCAAGTATGCCTTGGTTGGAGGCTTTTGGCGTGGGGAAACTATAAAAGGGTAGGTAATTAGAAGTGGGACATCCAGTGTAATTAGTTACAGGTACATATTTGTCTTTCTCTGGTTTGTCCTAAATTGAAAGTGGTGACAAAACTTAGAGAAGCTATTAGTTACTCAAGGCCTGACAACTTTGGTTAAGTTGTTACATATGTTATTATTTAGCTTCCTAGATTGCTGCTGGAGGTAACAATCTGGCTTCCTGCAAAACTTATATAACAGGACTGGCTTCCTGGCCTGTTTATTATAGATACGGTTTCCCAGGTAAGTTGCTATTAAGTTGGGGATTAGACTTCTGTTTTTATGTATGATCTAGCCATTGCCCATTTGTGTATTCAGTCTTTCAATAGGTTTTGGGCTCCATGACTGCCTTCTTTCTCTCTTGATATATTTATTTAAATACATAATGCCTGATGTTTTGAATTAAATCCTTGTACAATTTTTGAATTTCTGTGCAGATATTTTTCTGTTCATGTGGATAAAAATTGTCTTTTTCTTTTGAGTTACCTAGATTTATATTTCTCTGGCATAGTGAATTGTATACCAACTACAGGAGCAATGATAAAGATAGCTAATAACTTGATATGACTAAAAATATTTTAGCTTTAATGATATTGGAAATTTTAATTTAAAATCTTCAGTACATTTTTGTAGAGAAGGTTTCAATTGTTGTTGGATCATTCAGTCATTTGTGATGAATAGTTTTAAAGATGCAGTATTCTACATCTTTCCAAAAATATCAGCTAGCTCTCAATTATCCAGGCCAGGGGAAGACAAAGGAATTTATAGCTGCTGCACATTGGTGGAGCAGGTGACCCACAGTGGTTCTTTCATGACAATTTCCACTTCTTTCACATCTGCTAAGAAATAACTACATTAACAGATCTGATTTTTTTCTTCCTCCTTTTGCCCTCTTTCTTCCAGAATAGGTTACATGGATAGGTTGAGAAATGAATAAAATGTAAGCAGAAGAAACAAAGGATGAAGAAAAATAAAGGAGCTTAGTATCTCAAAAATGTGATCAGTTTCTAAATAATTGGTTGTAGGCTGAATATTTGACTGCTCATAAAGTGGGATCTTACACACTTTATTTTGTGCTACTATCACTTTTCCCTCAAATTAAATTTTGTAATTTTGATAAAGATATCCTAGTAAGGCTACCACACACATTGTAATTCCCATTAAGAGTTTTACTAATTCATCACTTAGAAAAAATAGAGGGCACCTGGGTGGCTCAGTCATTAGAGAGTCTGACTCTTGATTTCATCTCAGGTCATGATCCCTGGGTCATGGGATCAAGCCCCACATCAGGCTTCATGCTGAACGTGGAACCCGCCTAGGATTGTCAATCTCTCTCTCTCTCCCTCTCTGTCTCTCTCCCTTCCTCTTTTCTTCTTCCCTGCTCATGCACACTCTCTCTCTCTCTCTCTCTCAAATTAAAAAAAAAGAAAGAAATGCAAAGCACTTTGGTTTCCCCTATAGGATTTATGATATCATGCCAAATATGCTTCCTAATGATGTATATAAACTAGAAGAAATTCAAGCAAAATGATGATGCAGGGACAGGGATATAATGATGTCACTTTCCATAATGACATTTGAAAATATAAGAGTTTCAATTACAT